GAATCAGGATAGAGGATAGAGACAGGGAAGGAGACAGACAGCTACACGAAGACCCAGTCACAGTGGCAGCTTTCCTGCAGCCACCTGCCTGGTTGAGATGGAAACGCTGATTCCAGCTCCAGCCCCCAGACAGGCTAAGAATATCCCAGAAAAGCAACAGCCACCACCCCCACCCTTCTTGATCTGCTCCTGCATCTGGAGTGCTATGCTGGGCTCCAGCAGGGCAGGGAAGAGACAGAGATGCTTGTGGCTGGGGTTGGGGGGTGAAAGAGAGGAGGCAAAAAATGGGCTTGGTGGAGGAAGGAGAAGATGAACTGAGAAATAAAGCTACTGGGGATATATATATATATATATATATGTGTGGCTGGGAGGACTGGGTAGAAAGAACTGTTTTTAGGGGGCAACAAAGGGAGATGAAAGCAGGAGCCAGAGAGCCGGGGAGAGAAGGTCCAAGTATGAAGAAGTATGAGGATGTGGGAGGGCTGGCATCAGGAACCTAGAGGGTAGACCAAGGCTTTATTAAGGGAGCAGAGCTCAGGGCAAGGAAAAGGAGCCCCAGCCTCGCCATTGTCCTCCCCTGACCCTTAATCCTGGGCCTTCCAGCTTCTCAGCCTTGGTCTCTTCTCTCCCTGTCCCGGAGCTCCACTTCTGCAACTGTGCTTATCAACCCTATTTTCTTTTCTATAAAGCCTTTATTTGGGCTCCTCAATTAAGTCTGCCCAGCACGGGGTCTGCTGGAAAGTGAAAGGCATGAGAACATGGGGTTTCCCTCTTGGCAGCTAGCAGCACCTCCTTTGTCAAGTCCATCTCTTCTGCTTTCTTTCTTTTTTTTTTTTTGGCCATGCGAGGCATGTGGGATCTTAGTTCCCTGACCAAGGATCGAACCCCTGCCCCCTGCACTGGAAGTGCAGAGTCTTAGCCACTGGGCCACCAGGGAAGTCCTCTCTGCTTCCTTTCTACACTCCCCATTGTTGCCTGGGGGGAGGCGGGGTTCCTACTCCCTCCACTGCTTCCCCACCCCAGCTCCCCTGGGGTAAGGTCCTCCATAGAGGGAGGGAGGGCTGGTGCATATGCTCTCCCTTTGCACACCTCAGGAGCCGAGGCCTTCAGGTGGGAGTACTGAATCAGGGTAGGAGGCAGCCAGATCCAGGCACTCAGATGCCCAGGCTGAGTCTCTTCTCTGGCCGTTTTAAAAACCTACATTGTCATCAGCCCCTTTATAAAAGGGGCCACTTGGAGACATGAGATGCAATGACCTTGAGTTCCAGGGCCTCCCGCCTTGATGTTTACTGGAGAGACCCTGGAACTTGGCCATCTTGGCATCCTGTCCTTTGTTGCACCATCTTTCAGGCTCCCCTCCCCTAAAGCTTGGAGGGACCTAGGAACGTATACATTGCTGAGAGCCTAAGCACCCCTCCCCTTCATCTCCTGGGTAGAACTGCAGAAGGGCAGGCCTCACACAGATGCTGTGCACACGAGCCTGAGCCCATCAGGCAGAAACGGGGAGAACCAGACAGGACTGGAGCTAGAAAGTGAAACAGATTCACAGGGCAGGTTTTATTTAGAAACAGATTCGTAGAGCTAGAAGAGGCTTTAAGAACCATTTTTAAGTTTAATCCCAAGATATTATCTTCCTCCTTCAGTTTTTTTTTTTTTTTGCCTAATAATAAAAATATTACATTGTAATGTGAAGGGAGAGCTGAAATGACTTCCCCAAGTCATACAATTAATAAGCTGTGGACTAAAACTCCTGACAGAGGATGAGATGGTTGGATGGTATCACCAACCTGATGGACATGAGTTTGAGCAAGCTCTGGGAGTTGGTGATCGGCAGGGAAGCCTGGTGTGCAGTCCATGGAGTCACAGAGTCGGACACGACTGAGCTGAACTGAACTGAAAACTCCTGCCTCCTAGACCATGACTTATCAGATAAAAAGATAAAAAGCAGCCAATTGGCAGAAGAGTTTGAGCAGCATTGCCATTGGATGTTCCCTTAAAGATGGGGCTCATTTGGGGAATTCCCTGGTGGTCCACTGTCCTTCCATAAAGCCCACCTTCTCAGGATGCCTTTCCAGTTTCACTGTGCTTATTCTCCTTGGCCTCCACCCTGTAGAGACATAACTCCCTCTCTCCTGCCTTAATACTGCAAGCTTTTTTGGTAACAGGAATGCCATAACTCTTTATAGATTTGTTTTTATTATTTTGTCTTCTTGTCCTTTAAAAATTCCATCCATATTCTTCTTTCACATCTTGGACTGAGAACTCAGAGCCCAGCCCTTAATCGAGTTGTTATGTAGCAGCTGCTGCTGACAGGGGAAGAGGTTAGAAAGATTGATGTTAGGAAGGGCGTCAGGTCCCTCCCAGTCAGTCCGTAAAAGCTTCTTGAAGGAGATGGAATTTAAGAGTTTGACAAAGGCAGATTGGTGGTCTGAGGGAGGGTCCTGGCCCAGTGATAGGAGCTCAGAGATTCAAGAGGGATGACCAGACTAGGAGAGTGGTGATCATGTGAGCCCAAGAGAGGGGGTCTGAGGCAGGGCAAGATGAAGATGAGAAGGGGAAATAAGATCTTTTAAGTCACCTGAAGCAGAGGAGGGAACTCCCAGTTCTAAGAGGACAGCAGGTCACTGCTGGGCTTGTAATGGGGATCCCATAGTGGTGACATCTGTAGGGGCTGCACAGACTCTTGTCCTGAATGACACCAGCAGCAGGCCTTACGTCAGTGAGGGACTCCTGGGAGCAGAGGACCCACGTGCCATTCAAATTCACGTGCCTGGTGTTTCTGCCAGTGCAACTCAGTCTCTATGGGGCCTGTCCTTAACTACTGGTGAACCGACTGTTCCTTGGGTGTCAGATAAAGGCCGACTCAGAAAGCCTTATAGGAGGAAGTAGGACCAATTACAGAAACTGAAAAGAGGGAACATTTTTCAGTAACTATGGGGAGAATGAGAGGTTGGGCAGGTCAGCTTGAACTGTGAGAGAACAAAGATCAGATCTAAGGGAACAGGAGAGACCCCACTGAGAAAGTACAATTGAGTGCTGAGTCAGGAAAGGGTACAAGTTGGCCTGTGTAAGGTGGTGTATGGTAGGGAATCAATACAGCTAGACCACAGGCCCCCACAGGGGTGGGGTGGGGGCGGGCCTGTGGGACAGCTGAGAAAAGCTGGTGCCTCTGTTGGCAGCCCCTGGGGATTCTGAAATAGCCCCTCTGGAATGAACTAGGTACACACGTGCATACACAAAAGCCCTGACAGCAGTGGATCCTTGGAGCTGGGTTGGTGGTCTCTGAGGAGCATAGAGGTGACTCCAGGGCCAAGTCAGTATTCTGCTGAATCCATGTGTATGTTAGTCGTTCAGTTGTGTCAGACTCTTTGCACCCCCATCAACTGTAGGCACCAGGCTCTCTGTCCACGGGGTTCTCCAGGCAAGAATACTGGAGTGGGTAGACATTTCCTTCTCCAGGGGATCTTCCTGACCCAGGGATCCTGCACTGCAGGCATGTTCTTTACCATCTGACCCACCAGGGATAAGCGAAGGCTTCTGTCCTCCATGAAACCCACACCTACCTCCAAAGTCCACTTAAGAAGCCAGAAGATTCCTGTGCTGGGGAGCCAGAGAGCAGGCCAGGAGAAGGGTGGACACAGTCCTTCAAGGCAGATAGAACAGCCCAAAACCAGCTGGGCTCCAGACCTGCAGGTAAGGCCTAGAGAATACCAAATACAGGACAAAGGCCTTATGGGTGCCAAGGAGAGAACAGACAGACCCAGAGAGAAATGGGCAGGACCCAACCTAATAGCCTGGAGCTGGGAATGGGGTCAGTTAGGACCTGAATGGCAGGGAGCATGTGACAATGAAAACCCATCTCAGCCTGGACCCAGGACTGGCCATGGGTGGGACCAACCCTCCTGGGCCTCCCTCTGCACAGACGGCCCGCCTGCTATCTGCGGCTGGACAGACCAAGTTCCAGACTTTCCCCAGGGACCGATCACCCATCATCCACCCAAGTGTGAAATCAGGGCATTGGAGGGGAGAGGGGCAAAGAGCACAAGAGCTCAGGGACCAGAGCTCAGGGCCTCTTATCATAGACTCAGCAGCAGAGAATCAGGTCGGCAAACCGTGGCCTCGGCGACAAATCTGAGCGTCTTACCACTCCCAGAGTAAAGGCCTCTAAGGAGGCGGGTTGCGACCTTCAGGCAGACCAGGGCCCAGCCAACACCTCATCACAGGCAGAGCAAGAATACCCCTGCTGCAGTCTTCCCTGGTGGCCACATGGGGGAAGGGAGGGGAGGAGAGTTAAGAGGGAATCCACCGACTGCTAGATTGGAGGAGCTGGTGCAGTGTGACCCAGCTGGGGCCTGGGCGCCTTGATGAAAGCACTCGCCTCGATGAAGCAGCTGCCCACGCTGCGCCCCCACCCCCACCCCGGCCCCAGCACGTAATCAAAAGGGGAGGAAGGCCGTTCCCATGGCATCTCTGCTAGCGCGATCCAGTGCATCAAAACAAGTTGACTCAGGGCCCTAGGGCCTGTAGGGGTAGGTGGGAGCAGCCTCCCACACCCACCCACCCACCGGCTCTGACCCTGACGAGGTCCTCGAACCAGCCACCTCCTCCTTTCGCCTTTCTGGTGAAGGGACTGGACCAGAGACCAAGGCATGGGGATGGGCGGAACTTGAGGTTGGCATGAGAGATTCTATTGGTCAGCGCAGCTGCCGGTTAGGAGGACAGCTTGGGCAAGGATTGGCTACGTGAGACGGGGCGTGGCGCGGCGAAGACTGGGCCCAAGGGGTGGGGCTGACGCTGCAGCTGGCGCAGCTCAGACCCGGAGCAGCCGGCGCAGAACATCCAAAGCAGCCGCGTTCTACTGCCCGTTCCCGCGCCCGGGCCGGGGCTGGGCCCCCACCGCCGGGTCCCCGGGGGCTGCAGCAGAGGCGGCGGCGGCGCGGCGGGCAGGGGCGCCGCCCGCGGTTCCCGCCGGGGCCCGGGCGCCGGCCCCGCTCTGCAGGATGGGCACGGTGCTGTCTCTTTCCCCCGCCTCCTCGGCCAAGGGCCGGAGGCCCGGCGGGCTGCCCGAGGAGAAGAAGAAGGCGCCGCCCGCGGGAGACGAGGCGCTGGGGGGCTACGGGGCGCCGCCAGCGAGCAAGGGCGGCAAAGGCGAGAGCCGGCTCAAACGGCCGTCCGTGCTCATCTCCGCGCTCACCTGGAAGCGCCTTGTGGCCGCGTCCGCCAAGAAGAAGAAAGGCAGCAAGAAGGTGACGCCCAAGCCAGCGTCCACCGGCCCCGACCCCCTGGTCCAGCAACGCAACCGCGAGAACCTTCTCCGCAAAAGTCGGGATCCCCCCGACGGCGGCGCCGCCGCCAAGCCCCTGGCGGTGCCCGTGCCCACCGTGCCCGCGGCCGCCGCCACTTGCGAGCCGCCGTCGGGGGGCAGCGCCGGCGCTCCGCCGCCAGGCTCGGGAGGAGGGAAGCCGCCGCCGCCGCCGCCCCCAGCCCCGCAGGCGGCGCCGCCGGTCCCTGGTGGCTCGCCGCGGCGGGTCATCGTGCAGGCTTCTACCGGCGAGCTGCTGCGCTGCCTGGGCGACTTCGTGTGCCGGCGCTGCTACCGTCTCAAGGAGCTGAGCCCAGGCGAGCTGGTGGGCTGGTTCCGCGGAGTGGACCGCTCACTGCTGCTGCAGGGCTGGCAAGACCAGGCCTTCATTACGCCCGCCAATCTGGTGTTCGTGTACCTGCTGTGCCGCGAGTCGCTGCGCGGGGACGAGCTGGCGTCGGCCGCCGAGCTGCAGGCCGCCTTCCTCACCTGCCTCTACCTCGCCTACTCCTACATGGGCAACGAGATCTCCTACCCGCTCAAGCCCTTCCTCGTGGAGCCCGACAAGGAGCGCTTCTGGCAACGCTGCCTGCGCCTCATCCAGCGGCTCAGCCCGCAGATGCTGAGGCTCAATGCCGACCCCCACTTCTTCACGCAGGTCTTCCAAGACCTCAAGAACGAGGGCGAGGCCTCCGCCAGCGCCGGGGGTCCACCCAACGGGGGCGCGCCCGCGGCTCCCTCCACCTCCTCCTCCTCCTCGGCCGCCAGGGACAGCTGCGCGACTGGAGCCAAGCACTGGACTATGAACCTGGACCGCTAGGGATAACCCAGGGCCGCTCCCACCCCCCGCCCCAGCCCCTAACACACACTCGGAGCCCCCAGGACCATCAAGCCGCCGCCGCTGCTACCGCCGCTCCGCGCCGTGGCCGGAGGAGGAGCCGCCCCTGCCCCGCAGGGGAAGGTGGAGGCCAGGATGCCAGAGGCCTCGGCGTTTGGATTTGCTGGGCGCAGGGTGGGGGTGGGGGGTGAGCGCGGGAGAAGAACCCCCAACCTCACCCTTTCTATCTGTCTGCGCTCTCATCTCTCCAATTCTGCCCGGGTCTTCCCTTTCCCTTCTCTGTGTAAGTCTCCCTCGGACTTGTCCATTTCTTCATCTTCTTCCTGTATCTTCACCTTCCCTCCTTCCTTCATCTTTTGCCTTCCCACCTTCCTCCTCGCAGTTCCACTTTCCATTCCTTGGGTGTGTGTTTCCGTCTCCATCTTACCCACTACCTGAGTCGCTCTCATTGCCCCGTTTCTCTTTCTCAGCCCTGTCCCCATTTCCCCTTCTTCTCTTTTTCTCGCTCCTGGCATGTGTCACCATCTTCCCCCTCCCGTCTGCCTTACCCCCTCTCCGCCTGTGTTAGCTTGCATTTCTCCCTCCGACTGCGACCCCGTATTCTCCTCCCCAGACCGAAGGGAACATGAGTTCTTGATTGGGATCGGCTGAGGTACAGCAGAAACTGCAACCCTGGGAGCCCAAACAACCACCAGGATGGTCCTTCGCCCCATTCCCACCACCTCTCCCCACCTTTTCCAATGTGTTGCATGCCGGGAGTTGGGGGGAGGGGGATGCCACCTTCAGGAGGCTGAGGTTTGGGAGCAAAAATCAACCTAGGAGGTCACCCCGGCGGTGGTGGCGGCGCCTCAGCAGAAGGGTGGGAGGAGACAGAATACTCTTCTTACTTTGAGGGAGGAGCACCCCTCTTCCTTGCCCTTAGGTGTTTTTGTCCCTCCCACCCACCCCCACTTTTAATTTATTTGGTTGTTTCCGGAGGGAGGGGGGAGGGGTGGGGTGGGCCCGGAACTGTCTGAGGTGCTGATCTGAGGCCGGACCAGAATTCTCCTGGGAGGGTACCAGGGACTGGGTTGGGCCTGGTGCCGTGTCCAAGGTGCCAATGATGCGGGCCGACGGTGCGGGCCGCATTGTCTGTCTGTCCGTCTGTCCGGGAGAGAACTATAAAGCGCTGGAAGCGCCTGCAGATGTTTTTGCGCCAGCCTTTTTTTGGGCCTTGGGAGGGAGGGAGCGGGAGTGGAACTATCGCAGGCAGGGCCCTCGGGCCCCCACGGGCCTAGTGGGGAGGGGTCGAGTCCCTGAGAACGGCTACTGTTTCCGTCACCCCTCCCCCCACTGACTTCCATCTTACAGAGAGCAAAGTGAGGGAGCCAGAGGATGAGGCCTGGTGGTAAGGCTGAATTCCTCCCCACCCCGTCCCCCCACCCCCCCCGCCACCCCTGCCTTCATCTTTTCTGACCACCTTCGTATTAACGCCCAGGCCATTTAGGGGATAAGTGATGAGGACAGCAGAAGCTGTTCCCCTTTTACAGAGTGGCTCATTGAGGCAGCATCAGCTAGTTATTGTCATTTTCTCTCTTTCCTCCACCTCTCCCTGCCATTCATTCTGTCAAGAGTTCAGTCAGGCCTGGCTAAGTCTGTCTTCACCACTCTCAGGTGGGGCCTGAATGCTACACTTAGCCCTATACTCTTTCCCCTACCCATGGGGCTGCTTCAAGGCTGTTTCAGCCACATGCTTACCCAGGGCAGCTTTGGGAGGTCCACCCCTGCTTGAGATTCAGACCTAGCCCTTAATCGCCAGGGAGGCTAGCACACAGGCAGCCTGGAAGACTCAGGAGCCATTCTTTGGGGTTGAAGGAAGAGAAGTAAGCTATTTAGCCTGAGATTCCTCTTTGGTACCCATTGCCTTCTTAACCACTTAACTAAGCGCCCCATTCAGTTTTTCATTGGCCCGAGGAGGCCCTGGCTGCAGTGGAGCGCTGGCGTCTGTGACCCTGGTCTCCACGGAGACCTCCGGAGCATTCGGATAGAAGAGGGAGAAGCCCACCTAGAAAGGCCCTGTTTCGCTGTCCGTGGTACTGACGGGGCGCACTCGAAAGGGTGAGGGAGGGCATGCAGGAGTAGGAGGAGCTGCAGACAGCCTCAGGTTTTCCGGATAATTTGGGAGTAGATGTGATCCTTTCTGGTGGTGAGTTACAGGAGTCTGGCCCAAGAATCCAGGAAGACTGTCCTCCTAGGAAGACAGATCTCAACTCTTCCCCGGACTCTGCCCAGCGCCCTCTCAACCGGCCAGTAGCCGGAAATCCCCAGTCCAGATTTGTGAATCGAGTTCCCCGGGGGGAGGTGGGGAGAGCTGGTGGAAGGAAAGGCGGGTGCAGTCGCCCATTGGCTGGAATTTGGCGCAGTCAGCGCGGTGCCGTCATCTCTCTAGGTATGGAAGGAGAGAGGGAGGAGCACTTGGGTCACCCCGCGGCTGTCGCCATAGTAACCAGACTGAACGGGCGGGGCGGGGCGGGGGAGGAGGGTGCACTTTCCTCTCTCTCACCTCTGGCGGGGAGGTTGCAGAGAACAATCCTGGTCCCTCTTATTTGGAACTAGTTATCGAGACTATTTGAGTGGGATTTCTGTGTTAGAAGAGCCCAACGGGGATGGGAAAGAGACCCTCAAACATCCTTGGGGAGGGGCCTCTAGATTCTGCTCCTGAAAGCATAGACACAGCACCCTTCTATTGCTACACTGCTATGCGCACTCGGACACACACACATACAGGTGGGCGCCTCCAAGAACCTGTGGTCTGGCATTTGGAGACCTAGAATGAGAAAAAAGCCTCAGTGCCTGGTGGCAAATTAAATCTCCCTTCCCTTTGTCACGCCCCAGGCAGGAGACATTGCCATAATCCGCTTAAGTAGTGAGGGACCGGAGGCGGATCTGCACGAAAACGTGGAAGAATCAGCCTCCTGGGCCAAACTTGGTCAGATTCCTGTTTTCTCAGGAAGAAGGTGGTCATTAAGAGAAGGACTCAGAGCAGCCTTTTGAGAAGGCAAAGTGGAAGGGAGTAAATGCGGAAACAGAGTGATGTGCCTTCTCTTGACTGCCCAGAAGTGAACCTCCGGGAAAAGGAGTCCAGGCTTAGGACAGAGGTGGGAAGAGGGCCCAGAGAGCCCAGCAGGAATGAGGGAGGGGTGGGCTGAGGAAGGACTGAAGATGGAGGAGAGGAGAAAGAAACCCAGCTGGAGCCATGACTCAGCACTTCTGCTCGGCGAAGGCTGGAGGGCTGGGTGACTTACAGCACAGAGGCAACAGAGAGGGGAGGGGAGTAGGAAACAAATGGGCAGATAAACTGTGACCTGACCATTTGCATGATACATGCTGATACATACATTGACATACAACACATCTGAACACAGAAGCAGGTACATAGGCATTTAAACTGATGAAGTCTCATTCAGTCATAACATATACACATCTCCACTTTCCTTCCCTGCCCTGCTTCCTGGAGCAGAGGACGTTCTGTTCTGAGAGCTATGCTTGCCTGTCCCTGGAATACCTTGGTACTTAATGGGAAAGGAGAAACACAAAAAATCACAGGGGTATGTGTGTGTGTGTGTGTGTTTGTCATGGTAACTGCTTTGCCTGCCAGGCAGGGTGCTCAGCAACCAGAGCATCTGGCAGTATCCAAGGGGACATCCTGCGGCCAGGACTCTGCCACAGGCACCCAGATGGGCATCTCCAGAAGATTTCTACTACAGAAGCTGCCAAAGCAGCCCCTCTGACCATGCTACCATGACCAGGGACATCTGGTAGCCAGGTTTGGAGGCCTGGCCTTCTTCATGTGACCCACTTTAAGTGCAACTCCTGACCCCTTTATACACCATAAACAGCACTTGCCATGAGTGGCCTCAAGACAACAGAGGTTAAACTTTAAAGACCTTTATTAAGATCATTACCGGGACTTTCCTGGTGGTCCAGTGGCTAAGACTCCAAGCTCCCAGGGCAGCTGGCCCAGGGTTCGATCCCTGGTCAGGGAACTAGATCCCACATGCCACAACTAAGACCTGGCACGGTCAAATAAATATAAAGACCATTACCTTCCCTTTCAGCATCTTGTCAGACAGCCAAGAAGAAGATCATCTATACTCACAGGTTAGGTGTGTAAATGAGGCATACAAAAAGTGTTTTAGTTCAGTGTGATTAAAGATTGAGTATAAGACAGATAAACTGCAGAGCACAGTCTCAGTATTCAAGTTCCTTTGATCTGAGTTTAATATTCTGATAAGGCTTTTAGAAACAATCTCTCTTTTACACTTGCAGACTGGCTGTCTGGCTTTGTACTCTAGCACCCTGCTTTCCTTTTCTTCCTAGGCATTCAGGTTTAACCTCTTAGTTTCTGGCTTAAAATTCTCCCAACTCATTTTGGGCTTCCAGGGGATTTCTTTTCCCCTGGATTCTAATTCTTTAGCAGATAGCTGCTCCCAAGATCTCTACTTGTCGACATTGTCCACCATAGTTACTCCCCTTTTACAACTTTCCCCTGCCCCATTGCTTCACCTCCCTTGATCATACTCTCCTGTGACTGATATTTGGCTTCAAGACCATACATCATAAAATTAGTCTCTCTGCGTGCATTTTTATATATGACAATCTAAAAGGAAGGAGGCGTGATGATAAACAATGTAAATATGAAAAGGGATATTTCTTTATAACCTTTATACATTTTACTCCTTTTTAAAAAATTTACATATTACCCCAGAAAAATGCAGGACATCAAGAAAAGCATAAGAAATAAGACTAATGCTCGAAGGCTTGCCCTACCACATATTAAAATTTACTAAAGAGCTAAGGTCGCTAAAGCATAAGGCACTGATGTAGGAACAGATGTATCAGTAGAACAGGACAGATAATCCCAAACTAAACTCCAGCATAGGTGGGAATTTAATAGATGATAAAGGCACCATTTCAGATACATTGGGAAAAAAAGATAGATT